AGGCATTTTTACCTTGCTCCCAGTCTTCGGGAAAAATAAGTCAATCTTTGGCCATTAAGTTTGATGCTTGTTGTAGGTTTTTATGTGGTTTCCCTTCATCAGGTTAAGGAAGTTCCCTTCTATTCCTAATTTGCTCAGAGTTTTTATTACAAATGGACTTGTTTTTGCTGGCTTTAAAGGAGGAAGGGTCCACAAGCCAAAGAATGCAAGCAGCTTCAAGGAGCTGGAAGAGGCAAGGAAATGGATCCTATTGGAGCTGACAGGGAGGCATGCAATCCTCTTGGTGGCTTTGATTTCTTTATTGTGAAACTGTCAGATTTATGACCTATAAAACTATAAGGTAATTTATGTTGTTTGAGGCATTAAGCTCATTCTCATTTGTTACAGCAGCAATAGAAAACTAATGCAGTAAAAGAATTGGTCCATCATTTCTTCTAAGTTGCCAAATTTATGGACTTCAGAGTTGTTTGTACCATTCACTTATTATCCTCTTAATAAGTGAATATAGTGATATCCTCTCTTTAATTCATGGTATTGGTAATTTGTGTCTTCTTTTTTCAAAGAAGCATATTTTCTTTTCATTTATTTCCTCTAGTTATTCTGCCTTCAATTTTATTGGTTTCTCTGCTCTTATCTTTATATTTCCTTTTCTTATGCTTTCTTTGGGTTTAATTTGCTCTTCCTATTACTTTTTTAAAATTATCTTTGCTTTTTAAATATATTAATTGTAAGTTTATATAATTTGATTTTTATTTTTAACTAATTTTTAAAAAATATCTTTATTGATTTGAGAGAGAGAGGAAGGGAGAGGGAGAAAAACAAACTTCAATGTGAGAGAGAAACAACCATCAATTGACCAGGGACCAAACTTATAACCTGGGCATGTGCCCTGACCGAAAATCAAACCAGCAGCCTTTCAGTGCACAGGATGGTGCCCAACCGAGACACATGGGCTGTGCCGACTTTTAATAACGGCTGTGTTTAACACCAGCTTGCAATGTTTCTAAAACCCACGTGGCTTATAGACTGCTATGAGCTGGCTCCACCACACTCTGCTTCCACGTCTGTCTTCACACGTGACCTCTTCCCTAGCTCCAGACTCTCCAGCTGCCTGTCCAACATCTCCACTTGAATGTCCAACTGAAATCTCACTAAAACTACACCCAAAACCATGCCTGCAATAGTGCCTCCATCTCTCTCCTCTGCCCTGCTCCTTTCCCGCTCCTAGAACTAGTGCCTCCAGGGCCCGTGTGCTCAGGACCCTCAGTGAGGCTTCACCCGTGACCTTTCCTCACACACCACACGCAGAGTCAGCACGCCCGCTCAGCTCCCTCTTTGACATACACCTGGAGTCTGAGCACATGGCACTGCCTTCTCTATCACCATCACCCGGTTCTCACCACGGTTCTGCAGTAGACCCTGCACTAGGCTTCTGCTTCTGTCCTTGCCCCTTTGCCATCTCTTGTTACCACAGCAACAGTGATCTTGTTACAATGTCAGTCATGTTGAGTCTCTCCATGGCTCCCTTCCCAAAGAGAAAACTCCCACCTTACCATAGCTGCTGAGATCTGACCTCCTTATTGCTTCCTCTTCTTCCACTGACTCTTGCTTTTCTTCCACCCCCCTCCGTGCTGCTGCCTGAGCACCTTTCTATCTGCTATTCCCTTGGTCTACAAAGCACTTCCTCTGATCCCCTTGGCTCACGGCCTTGCGTTCTCCCGTTCACACTATGTCTACCTCAGGAGGCCTTTTCTAACACTCTTTACCCCTTCCCATGGGCAATTTTTCCGCACAGCTTTCAGCGCTCACTGCCTGGCATCGGATTATATACTTATTTGTCGTGGTCTATCCCTCCCCAGTACTTACCACTTCATGCCCTGGAACAGTGCCGGCCCCTAGTTAGTCCTAAATCAAATCTGCTGTGTGAATGAGTGAGCAGCAGCCAAACCTCCCCTTGGTTCCGGCTCCATCAGGTTCAGGCTATGCTCCTTGGCGAAGCTAACAAGGCACAGGAGAACCCTCCCCTTAACCCTGTGGCTCCACCGTGAGTTGCTTGGCCCCGCACCCCATCACTCCCTCCAGCTACACTGAGCTTGGGTTCCTCAAACGGACCTCTTTCTCTCACCTCAGGCCTTGCTACATCTTCCTGGGGCTGAAATCCTTTCCCTTTCACCTGGCTTGTTTCCAAAGCATCCTTCGGCCTCAGTTTAGCTACTACCAGTTCTGGGGGGTCTTTCCTGACCTCAGCTCTGACTGAGCAAGGCTTCCCCCTATCTCGTCCCTGTCACAGTGGGACTACTGTCCCCCACCAGACTGTGAGCTGCCTGATAGCAGGGCCTGTGACTTATTAATCTCAGAACCCTGGGGCCTAACACTGAGCAAGTGCTCACTAAATGCAATCTGAATGAAAGAATAAATGAATAAGAGAATTATTAAAAACCAAGCCTGCTCAGAGATGGGATGAGGGACCCATGGCCACCATCCCACTCCTCATTCCTGTCATCCTCCCACACGAAGGCCTGGTTCAGTCCAGTCCAGCAGCAGGGAGCCAGTCAGCAGAGCCTAGGGGGGTCCACAAGCCACAGCTCTCAGCCAGTCCTTGCCATGAGGCAAGAACCTTACAGCGCCACAACATGAGGGGGGGGGGAGGGGAGAGGAAAGCAGCCAGAGGCCTGGCAGGAAGAAGTCACATCACCACACGTACTAGTGGCTGTGAGTCCCCCATTTCCATGTCCTGACTTCAAACCCAGGTCACGCTCCGTGGCCACAGTTCCCAGGATGGCACTCAAGGGAACCAGAACCCACACCCAAGCAGCCTGAGCCCAGGCCTTGGTCACATGGCTGTCTGACTCCTAGCTGGGTCTGCTACACAGCCCAGGACCAAGCGACCAGACACCCAGCACCGGCCTGGATGAGGCCAGTGAGAACATCCAGTGGACCAAACGTCACCGTTTTGACGCCTTGTGTGTATGCAGAGAGAGGAGGGGGAGCAGCATCCCCCGCTCAGCCAGTGGGCGCAGAGTCTGTCACTGGCCTGGCATCCCTCACCAGACCCCAGAGGCTCTTTCCTCGGCCCAGGGACCGCTCCCCTAGGAGCTTATGGCCCAAAGTCCCCTTTCTGAAGCATCGCAGAGGACAGAAGAGATCCTCAATTAGGCCTCTGCTAGTCTCTTTCCAAGGGGCCCTGCTCACATCCCAGATCAGACCCTGGTTACAGAGGCCTCCGGGGCTGGGGAGCCTCAGCCCCAGCCTGATAGTAACCCCGGGATCTCACAAGTCTCCTTCCACAGCTGCCACATTCCTGCCAGCCCTCCCTTGCTCAGGTGCACCTGCTCCCGCAGCCTCAGCTCTCATCTCTGCCAGGAGGCTCAGACCAAACTCAGCCCCAAACCCAAGCTCTCCCCATGTCTCTCCTTCCCCCTTTCTCAAATCCCGTGAGTCTGCGGGGTCATCTTTAAAGTGACTCTTGACTTGGCCTTAGCCAGGCCCTGCACCTCCTTTCTGGGGCCTAACCTGCTCTGCCACAGAACAGCTGCTCTGCCATCTCTCCTGGCCTCCCTGGTGCCTGTCAAATTAAACACAATTCCCTTCTGAGCCGCACAGTCACACTTCCCACAGCTCGATCAGCCCAGCAAACCCCAGCTCTGCCTCTTGCAAGCTGTGTGACTTTAGGCAGATCATTTAGCCTCTCTGAGCCATGATTTTCTCATCTATAAAACATACTTTGAAAGCTACTGAGAGATTCTCAAGGCAGTGAGGCGGAATCCAACATCTGATAGCCTTTGGGTCTGATTCTCACTTTGCCGGGAACCGGCGGCTTCCTGCACTGGTGAAACAGGCTCCCGCCTCCTCCAGCCCCCGGGAGGCTCTGAGCAGGCGGCAGCTTTCTCCCACGCTCCCGTGTGCTGGGCATGAGGCGAGGTCTGAGGTAAAGCAAAGGGCTTCAGGGAAGTAAGTTCTCGGTCCCCTCAGCACAGTGAAGCTGAGATTTCTATACGCAAGGCCAGGGGAGGAGATTTCTACAGGCAGGCAGAGAGGGGCTGCCTGAACAGCAGGAGTGAGCCTCTGGTGCAGTGGGAAAGGCTGATAAACAAACGCACCAGAATCCAAATCAGGAAGGCCCAGAGCTGGGGTTGCCGTGGCAACCAGCAGTAGGCTCCCAGCCTCTCTGAGGTGGGGGCAGGGACTTGTCAGATTCTGCTGCCCCCACCTCCAAGGCCTCCTCCTTGGGCTCTGCCCAGCTCAGCATGGACACGGAGGGGCAAAGGCACAGAGAAGCAGGACTGGGCTCCCACCACCGGCTTTAGTGAGGTCACTCCTCTCCCAGGGTGAGGCCTACACCCACGGGCCCCAGAGTGAACAAGCCACTCCCAGCATCCTCCCCCACCCAGGTCCCAGCACCCATCACTGCAGCCCAGCCCACCAGCATCCCTGCATGTGGTGATGCCTCGGGCTTCTCCCAGGACCAGCGGCCTGACAGCCATCACTTGACACCAGGCAGAGGGGCAGGGAGATAATCCCAGACTTCCCCGCACGGCAGGCTGGGGGAAGGGGCGGCACAGGCACCAGGCACGGAGTAGTCCTTTATGCCTGTTTTCTCTCATTTAACGGCATAACCCTTTGGCAGACGAGGAAACAGGCTCAGGGAAGCTGAGTGACTTGACAAGGTCACAGAGCTACTGGGCGGTAAAAGCTAGGTCCCAGCCATAGTTTTCCAACTCAGCCTGGATCCTTCCCCCGGGGGCTGTCAGTAAGTGCCCTGGGCTGACCACGCAGCAGGTCATCAACGGCTGTGCCCAGTCGGCACAGACACACAGCAGACAGACAGACAATGACCTTCATGCCTCCATTTAATGGCCAGTCCAGCACTGTCCCGATGATGCCCAGACCCCGTAGGGAAGCCCTCCATCCTGCCTGCTGTCCCCTGAAGACCCATCCAAACGGGGACCTCTCAGCCTCACCAGCAGTGCTCCAGTCTAGTCTCAGTCTCAGGGGCAGCCTCATCTCAGCTCCTTCAGCAAACTGTTGATAGAGCCCAGCAGTTCCCAGAAGTAGCCCTCGTCTTCTCCATCTTGAAGCTCCTGGGCAGCAAGCACCTGGTACTCAGCCTGCAGACTGGCCAGCGTCCTGCTGAGCTGGGGGTCCTGATGGTAGTGGTCCCGGCAGGTGGCCAGGAGGGCGCCCAGGGTCTGCAGCACCTTTTCGCGGGCGTCGTGCTCGGGCAGCGCCAGCAGGTGGGCAGTGATCTCACACCAGCCTTGCTCTCGCAGGCTCGGCAGGAGGGGCACCCGGCGATACTGTTGCAGCTTCTCCGGGGGCGTCTCCTGGGTCAGCCTGGCCTCCTCCTCAGCAAACATCTGCCAGCGCATGGCCAAGCGCAGGGGGGGGGGGGGGGGAGAGACACACAGAGCAGTCAGCCCTGCCCTTCAGATGTGAAGGCACACGGCTGACCTGCGAGTTCGAACCCTCTTCCTTCAGCCCCTGGGGCCTCCAAGGCCCTTTCGGGAGAAGGCCGCAGGACTCATGGCCTCACACATGCTCCCGCACCCACCCACCCATCCATCCAAACACGGTGTGTGCCGGATGCTGCAGACATGGAGACATGGTCCCTGCCCTTAAGGAGCTCGGGGTCTAGCAGGAGAATGAAAGTTAACTGAGTCATTCCTAAAGAGCTAATAAATTTAGTCAGCAGCGTGTTGTGGCGCCAGCCCAAGACCATTCAGCTGCCAGTGGAGTGGGACTTTGAACCAGCTGGGGTTCCCTGAGCTTGAGGGGTAAGTGGGAGTTGTCCGAGTGGAGGGTCCACACACAGGAGGGTGATAACAATGCCTGGGCCCACCTCATTCTGAAGAAGGCAGGTTAGTTCTGGCTCGTTTGGCTCAGTGGATAGAGCGCCAGCCTGCGGATTGAAGGGTCCTGGGTTTGATTCTGGTCAAGGACACATGGCCGGGTTACACGCCGATCCCCAGTAAGGGATGTGCAGGAGGCAACTGATCAATAATTCTCTCATTATTGATGTTTCTATCTCTCTCTCCCCCTCTCCTTTCCTCTCTGAAGTCAATAAAAATAAAGTGTTTTTAAAAAAGAATGGCAGGTTATACTAGTTGATGGGACACAACACACAGAGCCCTGAGTGTCTTTCCCAGGGGGATGGCCCTGGGCTGAGGCCGGAGAGCCGAAGAAAGCTGGGCGGGCGCCCAGCCCCATCCGCAAAATATGGTGGAACCAACCCTGCCAGGCTGCCAGAGGCGGCAACAGAAACACCTAAAACCTGACAGTTAGCAGCTTATTTCAAATGTCAGAGGAAGGCTGTGCAGAGGTGGAGGGCTGGCAGGGGTGGAGGTGCCCCAGATGGGCTGTACTAAATGTGCCTGCAGGAGCCTCTGCTCCGACTGCAGGGGAGAATGCGGCATGCAGGGTACAGAGAAGGCAGGAGGGGGCCCAGGAAAGATGAGGGGCCACAGGAGACCACAGGATGGTCTTGGGGCCACTGGGGCTGGTAGGGATGCTGGGGAAGGGTCGGCATCCTAGAACAGGAAAAGCTCACAGCCCATTCCCAGTCTGGCTAGTGCTTCACTCCTGGGAACAGAGGAGCCTGACTGCCTCAGCAGAGAGCACGCTGACATCTGTCCTAAAGCCTCTGCTGCAGGATGGCTGTCTCTGTGCTGTTTGCTGAGACACCAGTCCCTCCCTGATCTTCACAGCACCCCAAGGACTCCAGGAATGAGCCAATGTCAGTGCCCACCATGCCAGGGCTGGGGGCAGTGAAGAGACACCCAAGGCAACAGAAGAAAGAGATCAGTCTATCCAGCCATGCTCACGTCCTTCTCCAGGCTTGTTGGCCCACGTCCAGGATGTCAGCTGTGCCTGGGCCTTATTAATTGGATGTGAGCACCGCATGGCTGCCTGCTGTTCTGGGTTCTGCAGCTTAAAGGGGAGGGAGGGAAAGAGGGAGAGGAAGAAGGGAGAGAGAGAGGGAGAGAGGAAGAAGGGAGAGAGGGAGGGAGGAAGAGAGAGATGAAGGAAGAAAGGAGAGAGGGAAAGAGGGAGACGGATGGAGGAAGAAGGGAGAGAGGATGAGAGAGAAAGGGAGAGGGGGAGGGAGGGAGACAGAGACATGACAAGCCAAGAGAAACAGAGAGAGGCAGAGAGGGCAAGCACAAAAAAGCAGTAGCTGACAGAGAAGCAGCAAAGCACGGTGGGGAGGGGCAGGGAGGAGAAAGGGGCCCCTCAAGCCTCCAACACTCAGCAGCGGTCCTAGCAGCTGCCCAGCCCTGCTCCACTGACCCACAGCCTGGCTGTTCTGGGGAGGAGGACAGGCTGCTGAAAGCCCCGCCAATGCTCCCTGCAGCAGCTGAACTAAGAATCCAGGCCCTGCTGGTTTTACTCAATCCATAATTAAGACACGTTTTAGTCTCACAAAGGCCAAAGTGAGCCAGGCACCACGGTGGCCGGCACCTGGGCCTTTCAGCCATTCGGAGCCCCTGCCCAGAGCCCAAGCTCTCAGAGTGGGCAACTCCAGTTTCTAGAATCTTAGGCTTCAGCATCATTCCAGTGCGTGGCTCCCTGGTCTCCTGGCTGCTGTCATGGCTCCTAGACACAGCTGCTCCGGCCCTTCGGCTCCTCACCCCCACCCTGTGCTGCATTAATGAAGGGCTCCTCCAGACTGTTCTGGCCTTCCATCACACCGAGCCTGGCTTTGCACACCCTGCTCGGACCACTGCCGGCAGCCCTCCACACCCTTCCTCCTTCCTCATCAGCCTCAGACTCCAGCTCAGCAGTCATTTCCCACAGGACATCCTCCCTGATGTCTCAGAAATACTGGGTTTGGAGCCCTGAAGTGGGGCCCACAGCATCCCTGTCTGCCCAGCTCAGAGCTGCCATGTTTGCTCCAAAGCACGTACTAAGGAGGATGAAGGGAGGACTGGGAGAGACATGGGAGGGACCGGGATCAAATGGTCAGAAGCAAACAAACAGCGAGGGCGGCAGGGCGAGCGGGGACTCACCTTCTCCGTGACCAGGTCATAGAGCAGGGTGACCACGCGCACGGCCAGCACCTCGCTACCCTTCTCCTGCACCAGGCTCCTCAGGACCTGCAGGCCCCCCAGCCTCAGGAACTGCTGCTGGGCGTAGGGGAAGTGCCGCAGGAGGGAGCACAGCGCGAACAGGACCTGGGGAGGCACAGACCCAGATGGGTGAGGGGCCCAACAGAGCTGGCCCTGGCCCAGGCCCAGGAAAGGCAGCTCTAAGTGTACCAACCACCTCAGCTCGGCTCCCATTCTTCCTGGCTCCATCCACTACCCTCAGGGACGGCCACACCCCGGAACTCAGGCCTGAGAGAGCCAGACACCTTCAACATCACCCCGTGGACAAATGGAGGCCCAGGACAGGCCGCCAGGGTGGGGGGCTACGCCCAGGCCCTGGTGCCTTGGCATGCAGCTGCGAGACTTTGAGTGAGTGGGACCTCTCCGCCTATGCCCCCCAGTGGCATGCACAGCCTGGGAAGGGGCCAATGACTTTCAGGCTCCACGGTGTGCTGGGGGCTGGGCAGGAGAAAAGAAGCAGAATCCCACCTTCTTCTTCGCAGGGAGAGGCTGCTCCGTGGCCAGGAGGACCAGCAGCTTCTGCAGGGCTCCGCCCTCGATGGCCTCCACCTGGACCTTCGGGTTGCTGTGGGGAATGGGCGGGAGCAGCACAGGAAAGCATGACTCGCACCTGTTCACCAAGTTGGGGCAACACCACTGTGCCCAGCCCAGGGACCTGGGCGGTCAGAGTTGACACTGCACCAGCCATCCCTTGGGAGAAACAAGGTGTATAACGGGGTGGGGGCAGTTCTCCCCTCTGGACAGGCTGGAACTGAGATGGAGGAACAAGCTAATCAGTGTGGATCCACCTGGGTACAATGACCTCCGGCACAAACGGCAGGGTCAAGTGCCCCCATGCCAGTCTCCCCACCCAGCAGCCGGCCGGCTGGGGTGTTTTAAAAAGGAAATCCCATCTACCACTCTAAGATCCTCCTGATGCTAAGAGTGCTACATCTATGCCCCTGCTGCGGAAAGCCTTCGTCCACCTTCCCCCGCCCAGTGCTGAGGGCAATTACTAATGGGGTCCCCTAGACAGGAGCCCGTTCTTTCTCTCCTCTCCTGGGTGGAGCGCACACACAGCACACACTGAATGCTGTGGGAGGGAAAGAAAGAGAGAACACGAGACCCAGGGAGCCTCTGCAACCCTATGCAGATCCTGGAACAGCACCAACCCCGTGCCTCCCCCTGGCCCCTCCACTCTCTGAGAGCAGCTACTGCCACGTTCTCTATCCCTGTAGCCTCAGCGTTTCACACAGCGCCTGCCATGGCAGAGGACCCTGAACAATAGGGGATGAATGAATAAACATAATTGTGCCAACCAACGAACAGGCAGTGTGAAATGCTCAGCACCCAGCGCTGCCCCAGGGACTCCTCCCCGCACTCTGGGCTGGGAGAGCAGAGTCAAACACTCAGCGCAGCCCTCCCAGATGAAAGGATGCTGGGCCCGGAGGGGGGCCAGAGAGGGTACATGGCAGGGCACCCCACCAGGATACCCTTTTTCAGAATCCTTGCTTTCTCAGATCAAATTAGTGATCAATTAAAGAGCAAGTGCCAAACACAGGGACCCGTGTTCTTAGGCCCTGGAAGAAGGTCAAGGCTCCCTCACCAGCTGCTTCGGGGGCTTCGGAGGAAAAAGGCAGCGGGCACATAAAAAGCCTGAGCTAGCAGCAAAGGGAGGGCAAGGCCAGAGACAGAATGCCCTCGGGGGGCACCAAGTCTCCGTCAGGCTCTGGCTGCCTTCCCTCAGAATGGCCACCAGCTCCCTGGAGACCCCAAAAGAGCCTGGTTCCTCCTAACCCCAACCTTGGCAGGGGTCCTCATGGCAGGAGGCAGGGTGTTAACACATCAGAGGGAGAAAGCTCCTGGTCCAAACCACAGAGAGCAATGGAGGCAGGTGATAAGAGAGTGTCCACACTGCTGCTTGCAGGAGAGGCCCTGGCACAGAGCAGGCACTCCATGCGTGCTGTCGAACGGCACAGTGATGGGCCCCAAGTGAGCCCTGGATGGCCAGCCTTCCATTCCTGCCTGGCACCAGCTTCAAGGTTCAAAGCAGACTTAGCACACTATGCCAGTTTTCCTGCTGCAAAATGGGAGGCGCCTTCATCCCCCTGCGTCCCTCTCAACAGAGAGGACATGCAGGGTGGGTGCCAGCCTGTCCCATGTAACTCCACTCGTGTCTGAGGAGCAGTCTGCAGACAGGCTGGGGCCTCTGGGGAAGTGAGGCTGACAGCCCCTCTCCAGTCAGGCAGGTGGGCACCGATGCAGGGGGACTGGGAGCTGAGCTGAACCTCTCCTCTGCCCCTGCTCCCCCAACTTGAGAAAGGCAGCTGCTTCATCAAAGTGTGAGCTAATTAGGGCTGTCTCCGCCATCATGTGTCTAAGGAATGCTCGCCGCAACAGGCAGGGTCTAGGAAAAGACAAGGACCACACAAATGTCAAACGCTGCCTCCCAAGGAAGGGGGTTCTGCCAGTGCACAAAGTTCATCCACTTGGGGAGAGAGGGTTTGTCCCTCAGCCCAGCCTGTGCCCTCTTGCAGTTCGGGAGCTCTTGGGGGATGTCCGATGACGGCTGAGGCCTGCTCTCCCAAAGGGGAAAGCTCATTTAGAGCGCGAGAGAACAGAGCTTAATGCACAGGCGAAGGAAACCAGAGAGGAAAAGAGAAAGCTGATGCCTTTTGTCACTTGCTGAAATCGCTTTCATAAAGCAATTAATCCACTTGTTCTCCTGCAGCAGTTCGGAAGGACCAGGGTAAGTAAAGCAGGACTGTGGCAAACGTGGGCCTGTGGCCATGTGGGCCCACACGCTGCCGCCTTTGCTCCTGACCAGCTTACATGAGGCCCCACCCAGGCTCAGGGCTCCCGTGGCGGTGAACACCTCAGGGGTTAAATCCAATACCCTCTGAAAACAGCCGTTTGTGCTACCCAGTCAAGGAGCTGAAGAAGCACCACAGAGGGAGCCTGGGAAAGACAAGGCCTGCATTCCTACGGCACCCAGGCCATCCAGGCAGGGACAGCAGAGGCCAATTGTTTCCTGAGCAATGTGGCCAGAGGGTCAGACACCAACATGCTCTCAGAGCCTCTCTCCCCCCAGGCAGCTCTGCCTTGGGCTCTGAATGCTCACTGCTGTGTGCTTTTGGGGAGTAAATACCCAAAATAGCTCAGAGTGAGGTGCAAGGGCCAGGGCCTGGAGAACCCTTGGTTAGAATCCTGTGAACAATGACTGATGACCTCAGATAAGTCCCTTTACTTCAGTGTCCTCACCTGTGAGGCAGAGCTAAAACTACCCTGTGCTAAAGAGAATAGCTAATAATGCCAAAATGCTAGCCAAAGCTTTGTGACAGAAAGATTATGATTATAGTGGGCTTGCTACCCAAAGAGAGCACAGCTTTATTTAGCTCAGATGCCTCGGGCACATATAGCTGGCCTCACACCCCTCCCAGCCCAGAGATCCTGGACCAGAGCTACCCCTTGCCTGGGGAAGTTGGGGGGGGGGGGGTGTCTTGATGGCTGAAAGATGGATGTCCTGAGTGTTGGAGATTAGAGAGAGTTAAAAGAGCAGGGGCTTGGCAAGCCTTTTAGTGACATTAGTGGCACTGGTGTGCTCAAAGTCAAAAAAAGAATATTAAGGATGTAGCTCGTCTCCGACGAGATAAATGAGAATAAACCTTGTTCAGGGATAAGCAGGCTGGACTGAATAAATACCATTAGCACTTGGATTACTGGGATGCTCACAATCAGCAGGCGAATCAGCTGCCTGTGTGCAGAGGGACAGCAGCAGCAGCTGCTCTGTAGACTTGGGGGTGGGGTGGGGGTGGGATTGCAGAAATGGAAGTGATTACATTTGCAGAAACCAAACCGTTTGGGTCAGAGTGACTGATGTGGGCAATCTGCCAAGGGTCAAAGGTCACACTTTTGCTACAAAGCTGAGCAAGGGGTGGGGTAGGGGTGGAGGAGCTGATACTTAGGGTGTGCAGCCAAGCCTGGCTGGGGATGGGGAGGAAGGGCATGAGAATGCTGTCCACTTCTGGTGCAAGAGTGGCTTCATAATTTTCAGGCCCAGTGCAAAGTGAAAATGTGGGGCCCTTGTTAAAAAACTGTAAGAAAATTTCAGGTGGCAAGGGCAGAGCATTAAACCAAGCCAGGCCCTTTTCAGTGTGGGTCCTGTGCAGCTGTACAGGTCACACGGACATCAAGCAGGTGCTGCTGGCACCAGGGGTGTGTGCACAGCAACAGAGAACACACAGAAATCCTGCTGGGTTAATCAGAACAACAAAGGCTGGGGAAAAAGAGGAGAAATCTGGGAAAGGCAGAGCTCTGGGCTGGGCAATAAGGATTAGGCTGATGGGTTAGATGGCTGAGGAAACACTAAGGTAGAACCCTGAAGCAGAGCACATGTCACCAGAGCCCCAGTCCAAGCCGTGGACACTGAGGACACACTGGGTATGTACTCTCTCGCGAGACTTCAATATTTCTAAGTAGAGCAATTGTCATTTCTTTTTAATTGCTTAACAACAGGGAAAAGCTGCCATTATTCTGAAATGCTCCAGGAGCAGATGCTGTGCAGTGGGGAAAGGGGGTGTATCTCGGGATATGTGGTCAGGCTTAGTCACTTGTAATCCTGCTGATGAGGTTGTACATGCTCATCTTCTTGCTCAGAGAGAAAGATTCTTCTCTGGTGACCTGCCCTTGTCTGTGCCCCAGTGTGTGGCCTTGATCATCTGTGAAACACAAGGACTGGCAGGATGTGTAATCCTGAAATAGGTAGGTTCATCAGGGATCTATACTAACCTGCCATCTAGGGATTAATGGGGTTAAGCAATTAATTAATCAATCAAGATGGAAACAATTGTCAACTTGAATATAAACAGAACAGGTTCACCAAAAGTAATAAATGCCACATACAACTCTCCCACAGGAGAAACAAAACATCCGCCTATAACGGCCTTAAACAGCTTAAGTGTGAAGGGAACCACACTGGGCTCTTCAGAAGTTCCATCTGTTACTAGGGGAGCGCAGGGCTGTCAATGGACTATTCATATTGTCCCCAACCAGAAGCCAGTCATGTAAGCAAATGTGGATATCCACAATTCACAATGACAGCTCTTATAAGAATATCTCTAGGATCTCCTAACTTACTTACTTACTTACTTACTTACATACATACAGAGAGAGAGAGAGAGAGAGAGAGAGAGAGAGAGAGAGAGAGAGAGAGAGAGAGAGAGAATATGAATCTGACCACCTCTGGAGAGATAAGAGGGCCTCAGAGGGAAGGCAATCAAAGAATCTTCCTGACATCTGGTAGCTCTCAAACATAGTTCTGCATCACAATCATCTGGGCCACATTTTCCCCATAAAACATTTCAGACACAACACTTAAGAAATTACAGAAAATTACACAGGAAAAGTAACTTACAAAAAAGTTACAAAATAGTAAAAGAACGCTCATCAAAAGTTACCAATTGGCCCAGCTGGTGTTACTCAGTGGTTGAGCATCGACTTATGAACCAGAATGTCACGATTTGATACCTAATTCCCAGTCAGGGCACAAGCCCAGGCTGTGAGCCTGATCCCCAGTAGGAGGCAGCC